GAAATACAATTAGAAACAAAGAAAAGGGTACTGAACTGTTACGTAATATCAGTCCTCCTATATGGCAGTGAATGCTGGACAATCTCCTCACAGATGAAGAAGAGACTTGAAGCAACAGAAACAAAGAAAAGTATACTGAACTGTTACGTAATATCAGTCCTCCTATATGGCAGTGAACGCTGGACAATCTCTAAACAGATGAAGAAGAGACTTGAAGCAACAGAAACAAAGAAAAGTATACTGAACTGTTACGTAATATCAGTCCTCCTATATGGCAGTGAATGCTGGACAATCTCTAAACAGATGAAGAAGAGACTTGAAGCAACAGAAACAAAGAAAAGTATACTGAACTGTTACGTAATATCAGTCCTCCTATATGGCAGTGAATGCTGGACAATCTCCTCACAGATGAAGAAGAGACTTGAAGCAACAGAAACAAAGAAAAGTATACTGAACTGTTACGTAATATCAGTCCTCCTATATGGCAGTGAATGCTGGACAATCTCCTCACAGATGAAGAAGAGACTTGAAGCAACAGAAACAAAGAAAAGTATACTGAACTGTTACGTAATATCAGTCCTCCTATATGGCAGTGAATGCTGGACAATCTCCTCACAGATGAAGAAGAGACTTGAAGCAATAGAAACAAAGAAAAGTATACTGAACTGTTACGTAATATCAGTCCTCCTATATGGCAGTGAATGCTGGACAATCTCCTCACAGATGAAGAAGAGACTTGAAGCAACAGAAACAAAGAAAAGATTACTGAGCTGTTACGTAATATCAGTCCTCCTATATGGCAGTGAATGCTGGACAATCTCCTCACAGATGAAGAAGAGACTTGAAGCAACAGAAACAAAGAAAAGTATACTGAACTGTTACGTAATATCAGTCCTCCTATATGGCAGTGAATGTTGGACAATCTCCTCACAGATGAAGAAGAGACTTGAAGCAATAGAAACAAAGAAAAGTATACTGAACTGTTACGTAATATCAGTCCTCCTATATGGCAGTGAATGCTGGACAATCTCTAAACAGATGAAGAAGAGACTTGAAGCAACAGAAACAAAGAAAAGATTACTGAAATGTGACGTAATATCAGTCCTCCTATATGGCAGTGAATGTTGGACAATCTCCTCACAGATGAAGAAGAGACTTGAAGCAATAGAAACAAAGAAAAGTATACTGAACTGTTACGTAATATCAGTCCTCCTATATGGCAGTGAATGCTGGACAATCTCTAAACAGATGAAGAAGAGACTTGAAGCAACAGAAACAAAGAAAAGTATACTGAACTGTTACGTAATATCAGTCCTCCTATATGGCAGTGAATGTTGGACAATCTCCTCACAGATGAAGAAGAGACTTGAAGCAACAGAAACAAAGAAAAGATTACTGAAATGTTACGTAATATCAGTCCTCCAATATGGCAGTGAATGCTGGACAATCTCCTCACAGATGAAGAAAAGACTTGAAGCAACGGAAACAAAGAAAAGTATACTGAACTGTTACGTAATATCAGTCCTCCTATATGGCAGTGAATGCTGGACAATCTCCTCACAGATGAAGAAGAGACTTGAAGCAATAGAAACAAAGAAAAGTATACTGAACTGTTACGTAATATCAGTCCTCCTATATGGCAGTGAATGCTGGACAATCTCTAAACAGATGAAGAAGAGACTTGAAGCAACAGAAACAAAGAAAAAAGTATACTGAACTGTTACGTAATATCAGTCCTCCTATATGGCAGTGAATGCTGGACAATCTCTAAACAGATGAAGAAGAGACTTGAAGCAACAGAAACAAAGAAAAGTATACTGAACTGTTACGTAATATCAGTCCTCCTATATGGCAGTGAATGCTGGACAATCTCCTCACAGATGAAGAAGAGACTTGAAGCAACAGAAACAAAGAAAAGTATACTGAACTGTTATGTAATATCAATCCTCCTATATGGCAGTGAATGCTGGACAATCTCCTCACAGATGAAGAGGAGACTTGAAGGAACAGAAACAAAGAAAAGAGTACTGAACTGTTATGTAATATCAATCCTCCTATATGGCAGTGAATGCTGGACAATCTCCTCACAGATGAAGAAGAGACTTGAAGGAACAGAAACAAAGAAAAGAGTACTGAACTGTTATGTAATATCAATCTTCCTCTATGGCAGTGAATGCTGGACAATTTCCTTGCAGATGAAAAGGAAACTCAAGACAACAGAGATAAGTTTCTACTGAAAGATAGTGAGGATACCATGAACATAGCATGTTAGCAATGAGGAAGTTTTAAGGAAAATGGAAACAAAGAAAAGACACTCAGAATCAGAAAGAGATGGTTGAAATTTTTAGGCACACAAGGAAAGAAGGGTTAGAAAACATGTAACTCACAAGATATATTGAAACAAGAGGGCAGAGAGAAATAACAAGTAACCTAACAAACTTGTGTAAATTGATGGCAGAACATGAAGTAAAAGGAAAAATTGGTATGATGTAAAGAAAAGAGTACTGAACAGTTACACAATATCAGTCTTTCTATGTCGCAGTGAATACTGGACAATGTCCTCAAATATGAAGAAGATACTTGAAGTAACAGAAACAAAGAAAAGAATACTGAATTTTTATGTAATATCAGTACTCCTATATGACAATGAATGCTGGACCATCTCCTCACACCATGCCACTGGTAACCGCAAATATATCAACTAATATTTTGATCAATTCTTCAAAGATTTTGCTTGGTTAAGAGTATTAACGTTTCAACCAGGTAATTTTAAAAATCACATGATTTAAATTCACTCCTAAGTCTGGAAATGACTGCTGCCTAATTTAATCTGATGTGTCCAAGAATGGAGTCCAACCCTCTGGAAGATCTGGCCAATTGCATCCTTACTCACCCATGTGCCAGCTGCCTGCAGATCTTTCTTAGGCTCTCTTCAGATCATGAATGGCTTTTGCATTAGTTTCCAACAAATGTATCCAACTGCTTGTTCATTTACTTTACAGGGATGTTCTTTTTAAGACATATTGACAGTCAGACTGTGTTCCTTCTATTTTTGAATGATGGAGAGTTTGTGCTCATTGGCAATATTTTGATAATCCTCTTCAAAGACTATGATAGTTATCGACTCGCTTTAAAGAAAATGGAAACAAAGAGATGGTTGAAATTTCTTGGATACATGAAAAAAGAAGGGTTAGAAAATTATACTCTCCAGTTTTCTTCATCTTTCTGTAAATCTGTATAACTTCCATTAAATTTCAGACTGAACCCATTGAACTATCCAATCTATAAGGGTAGAATGTTCTCATTCCATTCGTTTTGTTCTTATTAGTACTACTCAGTTCTTGCTAGACCCCGGCTTCTCACTATCCACAACTATAAGTAAAGAATAGGATTTGTATCTGGAAAAATCATTTTTATGTTCATTTATACATGGGGGGGGGCTAGGATTGTGTTTTGGAATGCAAGTGGAGCAGCAAACCTAAAAAGATGGGGAATCACTACTTTGCATTCATATTTTGTGGCTGCTTTGAAATTATTTATATTACTATAGATTGTTATGTGTACACGCAAACACAAAGTTTATATCTATGGTTCCTAAAGTGGGCAGTACTGCACCACCCTGGGTGAGAAAAAAGGTGGCAGTGACACATCTTAACCAGAACATACACCACACACATACATACACACATACATGCATACACATACACACATACATGCATACACATACACACATACAGACATACACACACACACACACACACACACACACACACACACACACACACACATACCTACAGATTGTAGCTGAAGTATATCTTGCCTTCATTTTACAGTGTATTCCGTTTATATAACAATTATCATAGGAAATACTATGATACTAATTTGAAATGCAATACTAGCACCAAGAAAATTCAAACAAAGATGAATATACATTGGGAGGAGGGGAGCATTGGTGTCATATTTTGGTATGTAAGGGGGCAGCAACCCCCCAAAATTTGGGAACCACTGTTAAGAAGTTATTCCTTTTTAAGTATGACTTTTCCTATCTGGAAACCAATCACTGTTACCTCCTCCACTCCCCAAAACAAGTGGGTATTAGAATTCAATTCACATCAATCTTCTATGTTTTGCATCCCTTCAAGACATAAGGAATCATGGCTCTCCACAACTTTGTATCTTGTGTGACTCTAAGCAGTTTTTCTCCCAATGCTAAGACTCTACCCCACCATTCTACCATCCATTCGCACAAGCTGGTCAGGTAAGTGGCTCACCACTTTCTCCTATCTCTCTTGCCCTCAGTATGCTGTGTGAGGTTTAAGCTTTCCAAGTCCTTCTTCCTTGTTATATGTCCAAGGAATTACAACTTTTTCTTCCTGATTCTGACTATCAGCGTTTTTTCTGTTGCTATTTTCCTTAAGACTTCCCTATTTCTTACACGCTCTGTCCATGGAATTTTCAGTATCCTTCTGTAGAACCACATTTTCTTCTGCCACTAGTTTTTTTCCAAATTTGTAGGATGATTGTCCAACATTCGCTGCCATATAAGAGGATGGATATCATATAGTAATCCAGCACTCTTTTCTTTGTTGCTGATGAAATTTTTCCATTTCATAAAATCTGCTTTTTTTGCTAGTCCAATGTGAGTTTAGACCTCGGTGTCACATTTTCCATCCTCTTGACTTTAAAGGCCACCCTCCTCTCCACTCAAACAAAACTGTCTGGCAGTCAACTTGAGCATGAGACCCATTCACTTCTCTGGTTTCTTTAATTCTGTTTGCATATCTCTCTCTTTCTTTCTCTCTCTCTCTTTCTCTCTGAATGTGTGCAAACGTTTCCACAAAAAGATGGTTTTCAACTCTGTATTTAGTTTTTAATTTTCAAAAATAGTGTTGTGAAATGTTGTAAACACCCCCCACCCAAATATTATTCTGTTTGCTTTCTTTTCATTTTTTTAACAAAATAATTAATTCTTGATGTTTAAATTGTTGTTCTATTTGCAGTGTATCATGTGGTCTACATTTATTGCGCACTTCAGGGACGCATGGGTTTCAGCCTGTACAATCTCCACGTCTTCAAATAAGGGTCAGTCCATGCCAGGATTGTACCCACAACTGGCATTCAAAACCATGGGCCTCTCTTCAAATCAATGGGTGTGTGGGTATTTATTACAGCTGACTGACATTGTGGCTGGTTAGTGACGAGGTGATGATGCTGATAGCTGTGAGCATGATCATCACCGATGTGAAATAATGAAAACTAAAGCGATAGAAAGAAAAAAAAAACACGAAAATAAAGTTAAAACAAACAAAAGAAGCCAAAATTTAAAAAAACAAAATATGTGAAAACCTGACAACGACGACCAAAAAAAATAAATACTTCTTCTGCAATAACAACGATTACCATTAATATACAACAACCAATTTCTTTACTGCTACTACTACTACTACGACTGCTATTACAACTGGTTAGTGTTGTAAAATACACAATGCCAACATTGTCAGTCATCCACTACTATCACTAATTACTAAAACTGCAACAACTCTGATTACTACTACTACAACTATTATTATTTCTACTACTCACTGTGAATAAAACTCTCGCTATTACTACTGCTACTAATATTACATTTTTAACATGCTCAACAACAATGATCAGCAGTAATAGTATTTCTTTGAAAATGAATAAAGGGGAACAACTCCTGTATCTGAAGAGTTAACTCCCTTAGTAGGACGTTATAGTTTTTGTGAAAACCACTTTAATGTTTTTAGAATTATTATCTTTGTGCAAACAGCAGGTAACTTTTAATTCCAAGTCCATCGGAATGAGGGACAAACTGACCATTGACCAATATTCCTCTCAACTAAAGGACATTTTCCTTTATGAGATATATATATATATATATATATATATATATATATATATATATATATATATAAAAGTAATTTAAAAAAGACATTTCATTTTTTTTTTCATTTTTTTAAAATTTATTTATTTTTATTATTTATTTATTTATATATATATATATATTTTTTTTTTTTTTTTTTTGACCATTTATGTGGTCAGTGACTTTTGTTAGTTTTTTTGACCAATAAGTTGCATTTGGTCATCATTGAGTGGCTTGAGCCAAATTAACTCCTTCCTTTGTATATTATCAGATTAATGTTTTAAAAATTGTGTTGTAGCCTGTATGTGTTTGTGTATGTGGGGATATGTGTGTAAATGACTGGTAAATGCTAATGAACACACGAAAGAGAAAAACTGAAATCATTTGTCGTTTTAAATTATAAAACTCTGTCAGTAACCCAGAATGCAACATGCACACAAACACAACATGCACAGAGAGACACATACATATGTATATATTCTGACTTCAACTCAGGCAACCAACCTTTTTCACACCCATTAGCAATTTAGAATTTGAAAAAATCCCTAACACTACACACTACAGGAGGGAAAAAAAAATTACACTTAGTGCTTATAAAAATATTTGAAGTAAGTTTTTCTTGTCCAAATTTTCTAATGGACACATTTGCCCTCTTATTTTTCTTGTTTCTCCACTCCAGGGCCCAGGAATAAAGCCAATTGATAGTGTCCCCCCCCCCCTACAAACACTTTAGCTCTCCCTTGGCAAGAACTAGGCCTAGAGTTACTGCTTTTAATTTAGTAACAGTATATACATATAGTTAAAATATCTACCTCTCTATATTGTAAATATAACGTAATTTATTTAATGAAATATTTAGGAACTTACTTGTGACCTCACACAATCCATTCAAAGCAGATGTAAAAATAGACTTGTTTCATTGATACTGAAAGTTACTAAGTGAGGGCTTAGAGGCCGAGAAATTTGGATGTTCAAGGATGTTTTTTTCAGGGAATGATGTCTGAGAATTTTGGGTGTTCAAGAATTTTTTTGGGGGGCTAGAGAACAAAGAATCAATTGAGACAATTTTGGATGTTCAAAGTTTTTTTTTTTTTTTTTTTTTTGGTCAAGGAATGAAATGAGAATTTTGGATGTTGAAGGGATTTGGGGAGTGGTTAGGCCAGAGAATGAACTGGGATGATTTTGGATGAATTGAGACAAGTTTGGATGTTCAAGTTTTTTCTTTAGGTCAGGGAATGAAATGAAAATTTTGGATGTTCAAGTGATTTTTGTGGAGTGAGGGTTAAGCCAGAAAATGAATTGTGACAATTTTTGGATGTTCAAGGATCTTTTTTTTTTTTTTTTTTTTAAAGTCAGAGAATTGAGACAATTTTGGATATTCAAGGATTTCATATTTTATTTTAGGCCAAGGAATGAAGAGACAATTTTGAATGTTCAAGGTTTTTTTGTTTTTTTTTTTGTTTTGTTTTTTTTCTTTTAGGGCAGGTAATGAATTGAAACAATTTTGGATGTTCATGGATTTGTTTTTTTTTTTTTTGTTTTTTGAATGCATATAAAAAATGAAGTCATTTTCCATAAAACAACCTGTCCTTTAAAAGAAAAAAATATATTAAAAAACGCTTTCTTGTTTCTAAGATTTCTACAAAAGACAAATAACAAACAAATTTTTTATTTTCACTAGTATATTAGGTTTTGTAGTAAATGAGATCTGGTCATTACACATCATAAAACCTTTGAAAGAAGAAAGAAAAAAAAAAAACTAAGGTGCCCACCACCCCAATCTATTTCTCTTTTGACATCCTAAACTTATACTTATGTTAATTTATGGTTAAACAAGCTAACCACCCCACAAAACCACCCATACATGCATTTAAAGACATTGCTCTTTCTGTATGTATTCAACAGCCTCTGTATTTGCATATATTTCTACCTACTGAGTTAAGCTGTCATGGGTACCTCAGCTTGTCTTAACAATCATTGCTGTTATAATGAATTTGATCCTTGCTAAGGTGTCTCACACGTTTTAACCTTCTTCTGTACTAAGTAAATATCAATATGAATCCTAGCTTGCCATAGAGAAGTAACTTTTAACCAGTGTGCTGCGGTATGCTGGTGTGCCATGATGAAAGGATCATAGGTGTGCCACAAAAATTTCTAAAGGTCATAGGTGTGCCACAAAAATTTCTAAAGGTCATTAATTATTTTCAAAAGAAGTCCAAAGCACAATAAGTATACATATCAAAATTTAAAAAAAAAAAACGAAAAAAAAAACCTTTAAATTGATTATACGAGTATATCATTGTTATAATAAATAAACGTCGACCTTGATGCCTGGGGAAACTGTTGCTGAAAATCAGCCTTTATGGCATAGAACCATCCGAGAGGTGTGGGGAGGAACTGAGACTTTCATGTTCATCCATCAACATGGAGAGGATCTGCGATGTGCTGTCAGGATGGTCTGATTCCCCTATCTGGGTTCACCACCAACACTCCTCTGTGACTCCTGCTCACAACTCCAGGAGTAGGCTGGGCCTTCATAGCCATCTCCATCACCACCACTCGAGGAGAGAAAGGGAAGAGGATGATGATCCAAATGCAAGCGGGTGATGATGGCAAAACATATACATGATATATAAAGTGGGTGGGGTTTGAAAGCTCTTAATAAGAGTCTGCAAGGACCATGGAAATATTCTCACATCTACAAATAAAATTAATGCTTTCAGAGAAAAAAACTTCTCTAGAAAGAAAAGGTTTAAAAGAAGAGAAAATGCAATAGAAAAAGTTGAACTCATGAAAAAGTGTAAACTGGATAAAAATTGTATTTAGCAAATTTTACAAGCTTTAGATTTATTGTATACAAATTTAGAAGAATATTTTCCTGTACCCTACACTTAAGCTATCTGGGTTGGATGAAAAATCCATTTTTATTAAATGTGTGTATGTCAGCAAATTTAAATATTACAAAAGAGCAAGAGTTAAAAAATAGGAAAATGACAGAGGATTTCAATTAAAATATTCAACAACAGATTACATGATTTTGTTTATTCCTTAAGGGTGAATTTCCAATTATTATTTAAAAAAGAAAGGCAATAGAAATACATATTTCATTCTCTATGTCATATTTGTGTGAAGCAAGCTCTTCTGCAATAAATAATATTAAAAACGAAAATTAATTACGACTAGAATATTTGGAAGATTTCAGAAGGATACGCCAGTCTTTGCAAAGGATATAATCTAAAAAAAAAAGTCAAGCTCAGATATTTCATTAAATGTTAAATTATAATCAAGAGAAAAATAAATATAATTTTTTTTTAAGAATTTTAATTATCTTTTTATTACAAATTCTAATAAATTGTTTTCTTTGTGTTAATAAATAAATCATAAAAAGTATACTCTTTTTTTTTTTTTTTTTAATTCATCCTAATTTAAAGTGTGCCACAGAAGTCTAACTATAGGTTAAAGTGTGCGGTGAGATTAAAAAAAAAAAAAGGTTGAAAAATATTGCCATAGAGTATTACCACTATATTATCTTTGATCTTCACTGAGTGTCTAATATCTGGAACCTTGTGCGAGGTTAAGCTCAGTTTAGTAAATTATTTAAGGTACTGTTTCTGGGAGTAACGTTTGTAGTGAGTTTAACCCTCACTGGGTGTCCCATCTTATCCAAGGCAGCATTTCTAAGAGAACAAGAGAATGCAAACCATCAATACTACAATGATCTACATTCAAGGCCTTGTGCCATACCAAACTAAGCCTTGTAAATTGTCAGGGCTTTGCGATGGAGCAGCAGTTAACAATCTCACAGACCTTTGAAGTGAATTCAATGTTAACTGGGTGCTCAACTTTTAGGGCCTTGTGCCATGCTAAGTTAAGCTTAGTAAATTGTCAGAATTTTGTTATGTAGTAATGATTAAGCAATCTAATTTCACAGATCTTTGAAGTGAATTTGACCTGCACAGGGTGCTCAACGTTTGGGGCCTTGTGGCATACTAAATTAAACTCTGAAGTGAGTTCAATCCTCACTTGTGGCCTTGTGCTTCATTAAGCTGAGTAAATCTATTAATGATAAATTTTTCATGGAGTTGTGCTTAACAAGTCATACAAGCCATTACTACTGTAATGACATTGAACCTCACAGAGTGCTCCATACTTGAGGCCTTGTTCCATGCAA